AATAAATGATTTTACTGAAATAACTCAACATGATGTCATGTTTGGGTCAAGCCCTTTCCAAACTTGTATGTAAATATGTATTCCATTAAGCCACTTGTGGTCAACAACCAGGGCTGGAATTTGCCAGTGGGAAATTAAAATATGCTTGTTGCACAGAGACCAAAGCAAAAGGCATATCTACCTCTTCTTGCTTTCTGCACAAGGTCACTGTTTCCATGGCGACTGGCTGATGGCTAGTTTGCGTCCTTATTCCTTATCTATTTTTCCACTTCGGTCTCCTCATATCTGCAATATCTTTGTTTGAAGACCCCTCATGGTCAATGCTGGCTTTATGTGTCTAACCTCTGTTCCTCCCTTTTCATCCCTGTTATCCAATTGTATGAGCCCTCCTCATCCCAAGACTAAATTTAAAAAATGAAAAACAGCATGTAAATGGACTGAAGAAAACATAATGTTTTGATGATCCATGATGCAACATCAAAGAGTCTGTGCGTGTTGTTTCTTTGCCAAAAAAAAGAGACTGAGCAGGGGTCGCTTCAATATCAAAGGCCTCTACCCCCTGTGAGATGTTGGGCACAACGTCTCATGCTGTTTTCTTATCAGCTTGCCTCTGTTAGTCTGGAAATGAACTGCTGATACAGATTAATGAGCTATAAGCCATCTCCTCTTATTTTGTCACAGGTTCCTAGCTGCTTCACTGAGTATGTTAGCCCTGTCTGCGTTCATCTGACAGGGTCACACTGCATTACAAATCGGCCTCATTTGCCTTTTTATCTGTACTAACAGATGGACTATCAGCGCCTGGGCTTGAGTGACCCTGGGGTGATGGCAAGGTGCTGCAACACCAAGTGGACGTAGATCATTACCAGGTTAACAGTGAGGCTACAGATCACAACCTTATGCTACCCTTCATTTTGCTAAGAAAAATTCTGCCGCTGTGTGGCATACACAAAGCGAGACAAATGAGATATGATGATGGGTGAGGAACGTGCCTGAGCTCAGTGACTGAGAAACAAAAACAGACGGAGGAACCGAGAAATAACAGAGTGAAGAGAAAACAAGGAGAATATTGACTGGGATAATGGATAATTCATGGATATAAAAAGAGAGATCAAAAGGAAAATGGTTAAGGGTAAGAGTCTAGAGAAATGTGAGGAGAGGGAGTGGGAGCAAGACCTTAATCTTAATTAAAGTGAAGGATGTATGGCTGTTGTTCAGGAGCCACAGGGGAAATGCACATTTACTCATTTGCCAGCTTTGCTCTGCAGGCATGCTGGTTTCACTGTGATATAATCCAGAGCTGTGTCATTAAAAAGATCTAATCTTATCTTGAGTGACAGCTGGAATATGATGGTGAGAAAAATACCCCTGCATTTTTGTTTGATGTTTTGTGAAGTTCCTTCCCATTAGATATAATCTGCTGACTAAGTTTCAAATAAACATTTAAACAATGTCCTCCAGGTTACATTCTGTTCTTAGGAGAATAGAAATATTCATATATGGCACCGCATTCATTTACGCCCAGGACTAAAGCCTCTATTGGTTTAGCAAGCTGCATTTGTTACCAAACAGAATCACGTTTAATAAACCATTCTTTCCCTTAAGCAGTATTACACATAGAGAAATAAAATAAGCTAAAAAGCTATCACAAATCATTTTTCTTCATTTAGCCACTAGACATATTTTAATAAATAATCTTGGTATTTGTAAAGACCCTTTTTAAAATATCAGATGTTGTTCATTTGCCAAATGCTGATTAAGTGTCATAGTCATAGTTAAGATCAACTTTCAAGTCAACAGCATGTTTTTTAATTTAATCTTGATGTTTTGATCCATTGTATTCCAAGGTACTGGCAATACTGGGCATAAAGTCAAACTTATGATTAGATTTGGGTCTCTTGGACGTTGTCTTTTGAGCAAGCTTGAATCAGTAAAGGTTCCTGTGTGGCTGAGCTGTGTATGGAACTGAGCATAGGAGCATGGTGGTAAGTGTTTTTGTAGGTATTGTAGTGGTTGTAGTGCTCCAGTGGAGGAAGCGATAGGTGTCTCTCCATAGCAGCAACACCTGCAAGCTCTTCTTCAACAGTAATAACTTCCATGGAGGAGGCAGGGCCATCAGGGTCCTGCTGGTTATGCTGCTTCCTCATCTTGTAGAAAATTACCAGCAAAACAGCAGCCATTAGTGTAATTGCCACAAAGCAGCCAATGATAATCTTGGTGGTTTTCATCACCTCATCCAGACCATTGAGGGCACCTTCTCCATCCAAATCCAGAACTGGGATGGTGTAAGTCCGCTCTGTGGTTCGTGTTGAAACAGGAGTACCCTTTGTAGTTGAGGATGGTATCCACTCAAATGGGGGAAGAGATGTTTGGCTTTCCTCCCCAGGGTTCCCAATCACCTCTACAGTGACAGTGGTAAAATAAGTCACCCCACTGTTATCCACAGAAGTAACATTGAGCACAGCAGAAGCTGAAATGTTGCCTGCTGTGTTGCTAACCATACAAGTGTAAGTTCCAGTGTCCTGCATTGTTACACTAGTAAAGTTTAGTGTCCCATCATTGAGTACAGACAAACGCACCTTATAAGCCCCATGTGTCACCAAAGAGCCATTTGGTGTGAGCCAAGAGATAGAGGTCAGTGAGCTTGTACGACATTTAAGCTCAGCACCCATGCCCTCAGTCACATTTAGGTCACTGGGTGGCTCTACAATAACAGGAACGTCACACTGGAAGTAGCTGTGGTCCAGTTCTCCAATATAGCGTCCCTTAAAGTCTGAAGGAGTAAAGCAACGAGCACAGCAGCTGGTATTGGCAGGCACTGTTTCCTTAAGCCACCAGCTGAGCCACAAAATGTCACAGTTGCAGTTCCAAGGGTTATGATGGAGGTGGACTCTTTCAAGACGATGCAATGGTGTAAAGAGGTCATGTGGTAAAAAGGTCAGGTTGTTGTGAGCCAAGTTCAGCTCCACTAGTGACTGAAGATCATCAAATGAATTTCTCTCAATAGTTTGGATCTGGGCGTGCATCATCCACAATTTTTGAAGATTCACTAAGCCTGTAAAAGAGCTGGGCTTGAGGACAGAGAGCTGGTTGCCTGACATTTCTAGCTCTTCAAGCCTAATCAATGGTAAAATGTTTGGAATTTCCTTGAGGTTGCACATTCCCAAGTTTAGATAACGCAGGTTGCTCAAATCCTTGAAAGCTCCGTCAGAAATGTAGGAAAGACGTTTGAGCTCACCCAAATCTAGTCTTCTTAGAGAAGGGACCCGGTTGAAGGCATATGATGGTATACTTTCAATGGGGTTGTTTCTTAGCCACAGTTCCTTAAGTTTGGACAAGTACTCAAATGCTCCATTGGGGATTGTTGTCAGTCGATTATCAAAGAGCTCTAGTGTGTTGAGACTGGCTAACCCATTAAACGCCCCAATTTCAATGCTGCGGATATGATTTTTGCTCAGTTGCAGGATCTCCAGATGACGCAGATGCTTGAAACTGTCCACCTTGATTACCTGAATGAGGTTATCCTGGAGGTTCAGGTACCGGGTATTGGTGGAAATGCCATCTGGTACATCTCGTAGACCACGCCGAGTGCATATGACTTTACTGAATTGGTTACTGCATGAGCAGACAGAAGGACAGGTTTGAGCACGAACTAGTCCAGCCACCACCAGGATCTGAAGGGCCAAAAGCAGCACAAAAAGGGGGTTGGAATATGCCCCCTTCAGCCTACGACCTCTCATTGTCTGGCACTGGAGGGTGGAGATCATTGTGTTCAGCATTCATAGTTCATCTGGTGTTTGTGTTCTCTGGAAAAACAATAAGAAAAGAGAAAGACTAATGTTAGGTCTCAGTCAATTACTCAACTCTTTTTGTTTTGGCGCTAAATTCTTGAGAACAAAATCATGTTATTTTCTAAACTTTTTTGAAAGACATGCAGTTACCATATTTACACTGTAAATTTAATTTGGATTTGTAATGTTGTCCACTTAAATCAACTCACTTAAGGAAAATTATTTTGACACATTAAACCTCATGATAAATAAAAAACTGTCACAATATTTCATAATGAATTGCAGTTCATACAGTACAAGTGCAATGTACTATATATAGAAAAAGAACTAAGGTAGATGAATGGTAAATGGACTGTACAAAGCTAATTGAACAAATGATTCTAAAGAGAATAATAAGTGCTTTCGATCACATTCATACACCGATGGGACACACATCAGAGGGGTAGATGAACTGAAGACATGCGTTGGGTATAAGTACTACCAGTCTCTGTAATAAATCAAAAATTTTTGTTTGCTCTCTAACCCTGGATCATCTCCAGATTGTTGAGTCAAGACAAGTTGATGTACCTGCAAAAAACATTCATCCTCATGGGCTTATAAGACATTTATTATTCAATAAATAAAAGTTTTATAAGAAATGTTATGGTCTGTTGGACTGGTAAACTCCGAAAGGAATTGCTCTCAGAAAAAAGCTGATGGGATACCAATGGGAGATCATTTGTGCAAAAAATGAACTTTTTACACAGATAATTTAGGTATTAGCTTTGGATTCTGAGCATTCCTACCTAGAATGTGCTCTGGTTTGTGTGTGATAGCAAAACACAGCATGCTATAAACAAACCCATACATTTAGTTTTTACTGATTTCACTTCGTCCTTAGATGTTTTATAATTTGTTGCCTTAGAGAGAAAAAAAAACAAAAAATTATATGATTGTTTGGCTTCTTCATGATTACGTCTTCTATGTTTTTGCTTACATTTATGCAAATAATTTTGCCAAAATAAACCACGAGACACGATTCAGTTTAAAAATGTAACAATGTCAGATATTGTTCTAAAACAACTCAAGCTTATCTGCTAAACCAAGTTTACGGACAAGAAGCTCTTTTATTCTGTTGTCTTAATCTATTGAACCAACATGTCAGTGAGTATGCCTGAAAATCCCGGTGATAAAAATAAACTCGGACAATCATACGCATTGAGCACAGCTTGTACCTCCCACTTCCACTCTGCAGTGTTGATGTGCTGCTATCATTCCTCATTTTTCTGCCTTCATGGATGGCAACCTACAAACAAATCAATGCATGCAGTGTAACAAACATATATATATATGTGCTGAAAAATAAAGTGTGAAAGTGTTGTGTCAAGCTGTACTTTTAAGTGATTTCAACACTACTCTGCAGTGCAGTTGATGCCTTTGCCAAGAGCAACACACTCTTATCCATCAAAAAAAGAAGAGACCAATATTAATGTTACACACAAAGTCCTCCTTTTGGGTCCTATTTGGCTCTTCTTTGATTCTTACAACCAACATTATCTGTTAATCATCTCTTTCTGTCAGCCCACAAGCAAGGGGAAACAAGTATAATATGACAGGTGTTTTCTAAACTGTAAAATTTTTAACTGAGGTGGAAATGCTCTCCAGTGAGGATGAGTGGCTGTCTTAATCAGAAGAAATGAGCCTACATGTAACTTGATTTTTGCACCAGCCAGGCTGTCACAATAGCCGTGATGGAGCGAGGCTGCGGAGAGACGAGTCTCTGCAGGAGAAGCAGATCGAATAAGGCCTCCCACAGGCTGGAGCTCATTTTGTCTGGCTGGAATTACAACAAACCGTGCTCTGCCACCAAAGAGAGGAAAATGTCAGACATGGCAAACACACTGGTAGTGATTATCTGCTGTCAATACAACATATCAGTTTGCAATTCCACCAGAATGCATAAAAAGACGAGCATGTTGACCTTCCACCACGAGAGGAATTCTGTCTTTGGCCACATGCCTTATTCATAAAACATTTAACGTGCATACATTTTACTGTGCTTTATGGCTCATTACACAAAGAAACTGAAAATATATTGCAGATGAAAAAAAAATGCTTTCCCCTTTTGTTGGTGCAACACTGCATGGATTAATTTTCATCTAGCTGCGCTCAACATGTGTTCAGAGCAACTGAAAGCAGTAGCTACTTACATCTAAAATCCTGCCAGTAACATAAAAACCACACACCCACCCTTACTTCGCAGCTCCTGCAAGCAGCAGACACTGGCTTTATGTCTAACAGTGTTGTGATTTACAAAACACATTTGTTAAAATGAGTTTAGCAGAAAAGTGCACAGTAAACATATGTTTTAATCAAGGTGCACAAGGAGGCTGTAAGATGGAACATTTCAGGGCATTTAAATTACATCAGATAGTGACTCAGCATGGTAGCACCTAACGCAGCAACTGCTTTCTTTCTTAAAATACAAAATGCAATATCACGCACATTCATACAGCACACATATCAGCTTGTCACAAAAGCATGGAAATGTTCTTCTGTCCAAACAAACAAACAAAACGCTGAACAGAGTGGGGAAAATATACATTTTGGTTTAATTTGTGCAATGTATAAATATAAAATCTTCCTCAGTTGCTCTGCATGAATTGAATTTGGGAGGATGAAACAAAAAGCATGAAAATGTTGCATTATGAAGGAACTTGTTTCGCAGCCACATTTTGATTGTGATATTTGTGCAAACATGTCGGCACGTTTAGCATTTCCCCTCGGGTAGCACAGGGAAATTCAGAATCTTTTATGCACAACAGGATTAGTCCGACCCAGCAACAAAAAAAGAACATTTGATTTTACATTTGCAGAATCTGCCAAATGAAATTTCACGTTTGGAAGACAGCGATACCGTCTCTTGCTTGTCAGAACACTTTACTAAACAAAATGATCAAAAATTCTAAATAAATAAGTCAATTTCACTACTATAGTTTTATATGAAGTTAAAATATATATATATGTTTTATTTGTAATTTAAATAAAGTTTAAAATATCTACCTATCAGAGTATTACAAACAAGAAAAGGAAAAAAAAATCCAAACAAAGGCAAGTAAATAAGGTCACATTGTTGATTACACAACTGCTGATCATTCACAGTTAATCATAGGAGTATGAAATTGATAGCAAGTGTTAAGTATGAAGTGATGAAATCAGGCAAGACTCATAATGATGGAGAAATAAGCCTATGGCCACTAAGTGGGCTGTCTGATGAGCTGAGTATCATTTTGCTAATTCATGCAACACATTACTGATTCATTGCATTTGCATACGTTTGGTGCACGTCTTGTTTTCAATCTCATTTGTGCTGATGTTGTAACATCACAGGCCATCTGGGGCTTTTAAGACATGGATGCGGATGATGCGCCTCAAAGAGTAGATACGTAAATCTGTCTATTAGTGTTTAAAATTATAATAAATATTGGTGGCTGATAGGTTTATAGTGTACACTTGGTAACCTAAAACAACACAATTAATGGATGTTAAAAATGAACAATGACATTTTTCCACACCTTTTTAAAGAAAATGACAAGCTTTTCTAACATTGTGCTCAAAGTGCATTTTTTTCCCAAATAAAAAGTTTAAAAGTTACAACACTTCATATCCATTTATTTTTCTTTTGTTTTTCATTTTAGTGTCTGACTTGGGACTTCATAAACTTGATAGACAAGGCTAAAAGCTTCATGGTTTAAAATTAATTGAACCGTAACCCTAAGCACTGGCTCCCCCCAGGGCTGTGTGTTGAGCCCCCTCCTGTTCACTCAGCTCACGCATCACTGCGCACCTACCCATCCAGGCTGTCATATTGTAAAGTTTTACAGACAATACAGCGGTGGTGGGATGCATCACAAACAATGATGAGTCCAGCTACAGGCAGGAGGTGGAACACCTGGAGAGCCGGTGCTGGAACAACAACCTTCACATTAATGTGAAGAAGGCAAAGGAGATGGTCGTGGACTTCAGACAGAATAAACACACCTGCTTCCCCGCCCCCAGGAGGATATGCGGTGGAAGTTGTCTCCAGCTACAAGTAGTTGGGTGTGCACCCGAATAACAACCTCAGCTGGGGCAACAGCACTTCCAGCCTGATCAAGAAAGCTCATCAGAGACTCTACTTCTTCAGACGGCTGAGGCAAGCTCGTCTGGGATGCTCAGTCCTCACCTCCTACAGGTGTGCAGTGGAGAGCATCCTGTGCTCCAGCATCAACGTGTGGCATGGAGGCTGCACAGCTGCAGAAAGAAAAGCCTTGCAGAGAGTGGTGAAGGCTGCACAGAAGATGTTGGAGTCAGTCTCCCCACCATCACAGACATCTACACCTCCAGATGCAGGAAGAGGGCCACCTGCATCATGAAGGACCCTACTCACCCAGCATACACACTTTTTGCTCCGCTCCCCTCAGGAAGGAGGTTGAGGAGCATTAAGTGTAGAACCACTAGACTGAGGAACAGCTTCTACCCTGAGGCTGTTAGACTCATTAATATCTAACCAGAATATTCAGTGTGAAAGAAAAATCGCTGTAATGCCACTTGATTGTTGGTATGTGCTGCTGACTATCCATGCTGCTGATCTCATGCTGCTGATCTGTTTCATGCTGCTGTGTTCATTTGTATTCATCTGCTCACACAGACTCACGTTCATGCTGCTGTTCAGCATATTGTTTTTGTACTATTAGTGCTTAGTATATTTTTAGTTAAGTATATTTCTTAGTTCATGTCTTAGATCTTATTACTGTTTTTTTTTTTTTTACAATTTATAATTTTGTTGGATGTAACTGGGACCCTATGTACACAATTTCATTCCACCACATGTGCCACATAAGATGATAATGACAATAACAAAACCTTGACCTTGATAAAAATACTAGATGTGATACAATTAAAATAATTTTGATGTGTGAAACATCACATCAGTCAGAATGTTTTTGCCTATGAAGTGACAGTTTCAG